GATATGAAGAGATGGGCACTGATCATTTAACTATTCCATACTACTTCCGAAACGAATCTACAAATAAAAAAACAACGTTTTTGCTTTCCCTCACGAGGCCAAGGTACTGACGATGTGGCGCTGCGACGGGGGAGGGTTCTATGCAGATAACATAGGTATTCAAAGTTCGGATAAGAATGATCTTCAACAAAATATTAAAGCCCTCTATCAATTGTTCCAAGAAATAGAACTGAAGCCAAACCTTTCAAAAATAAAACACGAACTGGAATTGAAATGAAAGCAATGATGGCAACTCCCGTAAATTCATCATAAAATTTCATATTGAGGAAGTAGTAAATACTGAACACTTCAAATATCACGGTCTATGGATTATTTATGACAAACTTAAAATAGGAGGTAAGGAAACTGAACATAGAATAAGCTCTATTAGAGGTAGTTTCTCACAACATAAATTACGACAAAAAAAAACATTAATCTAAAAACTGTTTGTTTAGCGGTATATCAACACCTACATGGGTCAACTAATGCCGAAATTTAATTTTCATGGGGAGCTTTGAAGTAATTAGTAAATATATATATATTATTCTGCTTTCACAGTTGAATACATGGTATATGGTATTCAGTTTTTGAGCATATACATATTTGTGGGGACTGGATTACTAATAGGTGTGTTTATGTTGTTCTTTTTAAAGTTACAAAAATATTTTGCTGGTATTTTTTTTTTTTTTTTTTACAAAAATGTATTGCTGGTTATTTTATATATATATATAAAAATGTATTGCTGGTATTTTTATTATAAAAATGTATTTTTACACTTTCATAGTGTTTTGACACGAGCTTAGGGGGTTAACTATTTGCCCAGAGCTTGGTTCGTAACAGATGCTACCACCCCGAGTCAGGATGGATCTGGGAACAACAGCAGTTAACAAATGCTTCCACCCTCCTCAAAACCTCCCGATCAGAGGCCATGCTGCCAGGTGTAGTTTATGGTCATACCCAGGATGTAATCTAACAAACCCATGTACGTAAATAGTCTTGTCAGATCGAGACATCCATATGGATGACATACATGGTGCCAGACTCATTCAATCATCTACACCCGATTTCCCAGATCAATGGTTCAAAATGACTTCGACTTAATGAAGCTTATCGGTCTTATTGAGGATCATTCTTCTTCGAAACTTATGGACTGGAACTACGAACAAAGAACGGCACTAAATAAAAGAAACTACATCATTTAAGGTCTAACAATAAAAGCAACAACTAAAATTTTTAGCACGTGTTAACCAAAGAGAAAATAATGACATAATGAAGATGTTGGCGTTCCACACTACTTCAAACAAAAGGTTGGGAAGGAAATCCCCATCATGCTGGAAAAAAGCAATACAAGTTGTGGTCTTGAGAAACTTATTTTTTTTTAAAAAAAAACATTTAAGAGTATGACTTTATAAATTTCAATCGAAAGTAGCACTAGCTGCTTGGTCAATGAATCCCGAATATTTCTTTATAGGGAAACGGCTAATATTACCATTAGCAATCTCATGTCAACAATGACAGGTAATAGTCAAAAGTCAAAAATCATATTCAATAGTCATTTTCTATCAGCCATAAGCCTCTATGATATTATTTACCAGCTCAGTCTTGAATTTTACTTTTCTTTCCCCCTTTTTTTTAATCAATTTACTCCAAGCAAGGCGATAATGGAAATAAGTCGAAAGAATTTACTGGGAGTAAAAGAGAATGGGAAGACTTTATAAAGAACTGGAAATCCAAATCTAAACAGTAACAAAGTATGAATCTCTACTCCTGTTCAAAAAGAGCAAGAAGGAGTGTGAACCGTGCGATAGACTAATTTATACATACATACATATATATATATATATATATATACCTCTACATTCGTTACTTTCTTTAAAAAATTAACACCATTTAGATTAGAATATATAGAATTTTATACTCTTATCTACGAGTTATATATTCCAAGACTCCATTAAATGCTTGAAACTTTAGATATAATTCATTTTCCGATATTTCGATAATATACTTTATAAATTAGACGCAAAAGAGATTAACTACTAATAAAATAGAACAGCTATGGCAATATACTTTAATAAATGTAGACACAATGAACACAGAATTCGTTCTGATCGTAGATCTTCAGTAACTTCAGTACACTATTTTATATACAAGTTTAAATAGTTATCCATGAGTTAAACGTCCCGGGTATGACGATAAACTACACCCGACAGCAAGGCCTCTGATCGGGAGTTTTTGAGGATCATGAAACCACTTCTTAATTGCTGTTGTTCCCAGGTGCTACCGCACCTGATACAGGGCCAGCTATGGGTAAATAGTTAACCCCCAAACATGTGATTCTACAGAAGGATGCTGAGGATACCATGGATCGAACATGTGAACAGCGACGAAGTTTTAAAGAAAATAGAAACGAATAAAGAAACTTATACTTACATCAGGAAGAAACAGTTGAGGTTTCTAAGGCGCATAATGAGAAAAGCGGGCTTGGAAAATCTGATACTCACATGACTGATTGAGGTAAGTGACACAGAGGAAAACAACGCATAACATTTAGTACCGTGAGTAAATGGATGGCGTAACAAGGCTTAATAGAAATAGCAGAAAGACAAAATTTATTAAGAGCTAGAAGGAACAGGAAGTTGTGGAGATCTACGATCGCCTACATCCTGAGGAGAAACGGCACATAATAAAGAACTGCCACGAGACGGAAAGCTAGCAGTACCCAATGAGGATCGAGCATGATAGTAATCGTCTACTAAACTATCTTGTTAACCATTATTTCATTTTACCACACGCTTCCTCCCGAACTTTCATTTTGTTTATGTTTTAATACCTTGTGATGGTCTTAATTCGGTCTTACCTTCTTTAAATTTTATCGCTTCTTTGTTTGAAATTGGAAACCTCAGACTGTTTTGCCATTGCGTTTAATCAGCTTAAACCAAATAGTCATATGACTGTCTATTCTTTTCGTTTTTTCTTTTTTTTTTTTTTCAATATTATTGCAACAATTCGATTTGAATTTTAACTTAAAAGCTGAAACCCTACATAAAAACAAACGATTATCTTGTCAACTTGGCCATCGAACATATATGTGAGACGCCTTAGGATTAGCAAGGAGAACACTTTCCTCATTCTGAACTACCCGGACATAAGATGTTATACTCCGGGTCAATCATGGTTGCATTATATCAGTCGTTCTGAAATATGAAATTCCTAATATCAGATGAAATTAAAAATACTATGTATATCATGTGTTTACACTGTATTAAATTTAACCTGGCGTCATGGATTTGATATTTCAAAATGGCTAGTGTAATGAATGGACAAACGTGGATAATGGAATTGGATTATTTAATGTCGAAGTCAACTATTTTGAACACAATTTTATGGCTTCAGCTAAATATATTTTGAACGTAATTGTATACTTCCAACTACACATAAAATGTATTGTGGGTCATTTTCCTATAAGATTTATTCGTAGGAATTTTACTATAAATATGTATTGTTGGCAATTCTTTTTATATATAAATGTATTGCTGGTATTTTTATTGTAAAAATGTATTTTTATACTTTCATAGTGTATTGTATTTGTTAGAGAATTCACTATTTGCCCATAGCTGGGATCCTAACAGGTGATACCACTCCGGGTCAGCGTGGACCTGGGAACAACAGAAATTAAGAGGTCGTTCCACGCTCCTCAAAACCTCCAATCTCCCTGTTAGAGGCCTTGCTGCCGGATGTAGTTTATCGTCATACCCAAGACGGTCAAATTGAAAAGCAGGATTCTAATTCCGAGCAACTCTTTTTTTTTTCCTTTTTTTTTTTAAGTAATGTTCACCCAATACAGGACCCAAGAGCCACTCGAGGTAGAGGATCACAGAGTAAGATGTAAGGGTCACAGTTTATGAGGATATGTGGGGAAGATAACGAGTTAAGATTGTAGTGACCAGAGAAGCATCCTCTTGGGAATAGGTACCATAAAGTAGCGGTTTCTGGGAAGCGCTTCGAGTAAACTTACATTAAACCAATGGATAACGAAAGGAATGGGGTATGCTACAATGTGCATGACATGGCGGGTCATAGACGTAAAGGTTAGAACTGGTGGAAGGAAGAATTGTAGTTCTTCTGGAAATAGCAATAGAGTAGCAAGAGTCTTGTAACGTTACGTCTGTGGGAAAAGGATTGCAGAGTGGGAAATAATTCATCACCCACAAGGCCGCGGGGATGCTTTTGGACTATGTTGAAACTGAAAAGTGAAGACTGGGTGGCTCCTGTCCATATATGACAGTAGTCTTTATTTTTCTGTCTGATCTTGTAAAGAGAGAGAATAGCAGTGTGAGGCCAGGTACTTACTCCAGCGGTACAGGAGAACGATTCTTTCTCCAGCATCCTTAGCCACGGATCATATGTATGAGCTCCACTTGAGGTCCTAATAAGCGCTCAAGGCAGGAGACCTCCATGAGAGAATATCCGTCCATCACAATAGGTAAAAATTTAAGGTCTACTCGGTGCTGATGGACAGTCACTAGTTTGGTTTTCGAGCCACTGAGTGTGACCAGAGAGTTTTCCTCCTTGATCTGTAAGAGAAAGATCTGGATAGAAATCAGCTGCCAGACTCTGATCATCTAGAGTTTGCGTTCATTTCCCCTTAATGTACTTGGAAAAAAACATGTCTCTTCTCTCCCACCGTCCAGCTAGAAATAAAATAGTAGGGTAGATTGGGCTCTGTATCCTTGGGTGGCAACCAGAATCAGAGAAGGAAAACTCGAAATTCCAAACAGTAGTGAAAGCTTGGAATCCACTGGACTATCTTTCCCAGGAATGGATGGCAATTCACGGCTAATAAAAACATATTTTAGGGACAGGTTTTTTGTAGACATGTTCAGTCGCTTAGAATATGAACACAAAAAAATCATTGCCTCTGTCTACTCGAACAGCGTGTACAGTTGGTAAACATATAACTATCAAAGACAAGCTGTATACCAGATAAAGATAGATAAAATATGAACAGAATAAAAAAGAGAGACAGATCGATATGAACATAGATAGATAGATAGATAGATAATGAAAAGATTGAAGCAGATAGATAGATAGATAGATAGATAGATAGATAGATAGATTGTGTTGAAACTTGACTAATGCATGGAATGATAATGCAACACAAAATGTACTTAGAACAAAATGTATTGAAACAAGAAAGTGTACACAATATTTACATATAGTCTTTTGTATATTCCTGGTAAGACCGTTCCTGGAGAATCGCAGTCGGGCAGAGTCTCTGGTTGAATCTCTTGATTCCTCCCTCTCTTCCCGGTACCAACCATATTTATATGGTCGGTACTCCACTATGCAAATTAGGTGGATCCTACCACAACAGATAGATAGATAATGAAAAGACTGAAGTAGATAGATAGATAGATAGATAGATAGATAGATAGATATGAGGATGGCAGTGACCTCGTTCTCGTGTACGGTCATCACACGATATCATTGTAAGACTTGTTTATGCTTTGAAAGGTTGTGTCTCTTTAAAGCAGACAAACGTTTAAAACCGATGACGTAAATCTAGAAAATATGAGAAACAGTTTTTTTGTCGACTTTTCTGGCTATTCGTATGTCTTTTCAGCTCTGCAGCTGCCTCGAATATTTTTCCCGCAAAAATGACATGAATTTTCAGTACTTACTTAAAGATTGATGCATACATACATAGGAACAAAGATAGCTATGAATAGACTAAGCATATGGATCTCTATTCTTGTTTCATTTTGTAATGTTATCGTAACTAATATAGATTGATAGATAGATAGATAGATAGATAGATAGATAAGATGAGGAGAATGCGATAGACACATATAGATGATGAGAATATGATAGGCGACGAGAATGAGATAGATAGATAGATAGATAGATAGATAAAGAACAGACAAATAGATAAGAGGATACCGAAATAGATAGATAATAAGAGACTGAAATAGATAGATAATAAAAGACTGAGATAGATAGATAGATAGATAGATAGATAGATAGATAGATAGATCTGAAGTGGTTGTCAACAAACTTGTATCTCTAATCCTTACGACAGTAATGATTTTCTCCGTCTTTGTGCATTACATACGTATGGCGAAGCATTGCAAATATAGATATATCCTTATATCAAATCGATATACATACATATATATATATATATATATATATATATATATATATATATATATATATATATATATATATATTTAAAAATCGATTGTGACAAAGACAGCAAAAAAAAAAGTTAAAGATGTACATGGAAAGTTTTTACAAGTCTCTAACTACCGCTAAGAATGTGGAATATAAATATACAAAAATGTGAATGAAGGTGTCTAGCATATAATAGCGAAAGATTCAGTTCTTTTGGCCTGTAATCCAGCATTAAGAACGTAAAAGAAAATCCTTCGAACTGTATTACATTTTGATTGAAACAGAAATAACTTAGCTCTTCAGTGGCTTCTTAAATCTTTAAAATTATATATATATATATATATATATACGCATCAAAATGAAAAGCTTTATTCCTATTCGATAGCATTTTGTCACAGATTCCGCCTATTTCCGATAACATTAAAAGCGGGAAGCCTCATAAACACTTATCTCCAGAACTGGGCGAAGGGTTTCTCATGACCGTCCTTACGATAAACATTTTGAATTCATCAGTGAAATGTTGTGTTGATTTGTTTTTAAGAGCATTTTTTCTTTATTTTATCTTTATATAAAACACGACATTTTGCTTTTCCTCACGTCGAGCTGTCAGAGAGAGAGAGAGAGAGAGAGAGAGAGAGAGAGAGAGAGAGAGAGAGAAGTAGCTCTATCGACCAGAACCATCAAGCAGAAATATTTCATCACCAGTAAATGATGAAGGGAAAACTGATACAACTTTTCATACACATACAGACAGACCCACATTCCATATATGTATATATACAATTCAAACAAATGTTTATATATATATATATATATATATATATATATATATATATATATATATAGTTGATTGATGTGAGTTTGTGACCTGTGTTTCACCCTATTTGCAATCATCAGCCAAATGTTTTATTGTCTGGCGATCGCAAATAGCGTGAAAACCCAGTGTCACAAATATATATCGAGCGCTTTTCAATAAATATATATAATATATACAAAAAATTATATATATATATATATATATATATATATATATATATATATTTCATACTGATATAATGGAATATGCGTACACCTGTATTCCCCCTCACTGGAATATGATTGGCTGGTGTCGGTCATAAATACCGACGGTCGTGTAGGTACGACAGGGTCAAGAGCCTCAGTCTGAGAGCTAAGTCTATAACGACGCCGTTGATCTACACTTCTTACCTGTGACTACGACGCTTACCAGTCGATTACTGCTACCATCTTCTACTTGGTTATAGTAGCCAAAACCACTTAGCTACTTTGTTCAAATATATCCCTTTCCGGGACATATCACACACATACGCATATATATATATATAGTCATCAAAAGACAGACTGTTTCGTTGTATCACAGTTCCTCAGTGTGGTTAGGCGTCCGATTGTTTGAAGTCGGGATCGAAACCCGACTGATTTGACATCAGTCAAATACCTTACCCCTAGGCCAAAAGAATGCGAATTTTAACGTTTTTCTCTATACGAAATTATATGAAATGGATTAAATCCAAACAAATACCTTAATATATTTTCTGTTTATACGCTTTTTATGGATAAACTTGTGTAAACGCTCTCTTTTTAAATTAAACAGTATTAATTAAATTTACCGGCCAAAATGTTGGAGAAATTTTGTATCCTCTACGGAATCGTCATTTAGCTTAACGTGCGATGTTCAGCCACAGAGTACTTCCGTTTTAGCAAAGCTCGAATTACTTTTTTAATGTAATTAATACTGTTTTTTTAAAAATAAACAAAAAAAGATAGCGCATTTACTCAAATTATTGTACCTATAAAAACGTATAAACTGAAAATATATTAAAATATTTGTTGCATTTAATACATTTCATATAAGAAGTTGTCATTGTTTACGCTATTCTGCAATTTCAGAGCAGATGTGATAGATCGGCAAATATCAGCGAAGGTGTCTGTTTAAAAGCAGTAATTCGAGCGTTGCTAAACTGGAAGTTCTCCGTGGCTGAACGGTCATAGCACTTTAAGCAAGGATACAACTTCGATTACTGCCGGAGGACGCATATTTTCTACGAAATTTCTCGAATATTCAGGTCTGTAAATGTAATTAATAATGTTCAATTAAAAAACAGAATACTTAATCAAATAATAAAAACGTATAAAAATATATATATATATATATATATATATATATATATATATATATATATATATATATACACTTTGGTTACGCAAACAGAACAATATCGCGCCGAATAACGTGTCATTTATCTGTTAATAATTCAAATAAATCACACATGACCAACCAACACAACCGAAAGAAATAAACAAATACTTACTGATATGTCCCGGAAAGGGATATATTTGAATGAAGTAGTTAAGTGGTTTTGGCTACTATAACCAAGTAGAATATGGTAGCAGTAATCGACTGGTACGCGTCGTAGTCGAAGGGAATAAGTGTAGATCCATGGCGTAGTCCAATGGGCGTCGTTATAGACTTAGACTCTGACGTAGCCGTGACTCTCCTACACGTCCGTCGGTATTTATGACGGACACCAGCCAGTCATATTCCAGTGAGGGGGAACAGAGGTGTATGCATATTCCATTATATCACTTACCAATAATACAAAATATTATATTGCATAAACTGCAAAAAAAAAAAAAAAATACTAACATTACTAGAATAATTAATCATAAAAAACAACCACGCCAAATGTTATCAAATTTAGGAACAAATATACGAAACATATTTCCTAAATTATTTCATACTAAATATATTTCATAAAAAATAATTTAAAAAAAACGACATGACTATACGAAATGTCATATGAATATGCGAAGATGCGATATAAAAAAATAAAACCGACACACCACAAAAACAAAATTCTTTGACAAAAACAAAATTCTTTGACAAAAACAAAATTATTCAGGCAGTTGACAATTGATATTTAAATATGTACTGGAAACCAAGAAAATGTACCAGAATATAATCATTGGCATAGAACTTGGTCTTAAATCGAACTTTACATAATTAAGGGGATTAGCGGTGAAGAGGCCAAAATACTACATAGGAGCTGCCGACGGTGAATGGAAAAGACGATTCTGCAACCATAAGATGAGTTCGAGCAACAGTAAATACAAAGGTAGCGATACACTCTCTACCTACTGGAACGTCATTAACAGTGGAAAAGAAACACTTACTATCACATGGAAAGTACTGGCTAAATCCAGACCCTATAAAGAAGTTGGTTATGGCTGTAATTTGTACCTGAGTGAAAAATTGATAATCTTACAATGAATTAGTGTCCAGCTGTTGAATAAAAGAAGCTAGTTTATGACCACATCAGAATAAATATTTAATTAAAAATACAAATGTACAGGATAGGAGTCACGGTCACCCCTAGAGTATAAGTTAATATAAGTTAAACGATAGCTTGGCTACATATTATTTCCGCCTGATTATTGTTATCAGACGAAACTGTGGGAACGGATTTTTGATTTGATATTATTAATATAATATAATATATTATATATATATATATATATATATATATATATATATATATATATATATATATAAAAGAAACAAATAGGAAACGTTTATCAATCTAACATTTTCACTTTTATTAAAGGTTCATCAGAGAATGAGATATGGAGAAAAAGTTGAAAGAAATTCTCATATTTTTATTTCTGTCTTGTTTGATTTTCATTGGTTAGTCAGGTTTCACATTCATTCGACTTATTAAACAAACGTTAGTATAATTTATGGCGTTCCAAATTTAAGGAGAGACGACGCGTCCCTTCGAAACTCCAAGAAATTAACGAATTTCAAGCTCATCCTCATCCACATGTAATAAAAAGCTAAAAAAAATAATGGTGACATTAATAAATAAAAAATAAAGTCAACTCAACTCAATAACATCAACTACGAACACGGCCACAATGTGCTGACCGTCTTTGGAAAATAAAAATATTTCCATCATTATAGATACACATATATAAAAACATAATACACATTCAGTTAACAATGAAATTAAAAAATAACATCCTTGATAATGGTTAATAGAATAGCCAAAAGCGATTGTAAATATAGAAAATAAATTACTTATACGAACAGAAAAAAATTGAATAAAAAGCTCAATTGCAGTACCTTGTCAGTCGTCTTTAAAGAAACAAAAGAGGGATTGTTGCCCAAATACACAATAATATATATATATATACCAGGTGTAACAGCAAAAATGTCCAAATCGTGCTACAGCATAATTGTCCATCCCACAAAATGTTTAATATCTAAATAATCATTAAACTATTTGAGTTTCTTTTTTCCAGGTTTTTCGATAAGACGTTTTGCCATCTTGATACCATTTTTCATAAGAATCACGAAAATAACCCTTTGAGTTATTCATCTATAAAGAAAACAGGTTGAAATCGTTTTGTGTCAGATTCATTGTCTTCTCAAATAAGAAATGGTAAGAAGAAAAATCATTCAGGCCTTCGGTAATGGTAGTCTGGTTTTCCACTCAAGAACCATCAAGAGAACGGTGAATAAGTTTAAAAAAGAGGGAACAGTAGAGAGGAAAACTGGATCAGGAATAGGGATCATCACTTCAACTTAGAGCTAAAGAGATCAATTAGAAAAGATCCAACTCAATCCATAAAACGTTGGGCACGTGAGCGAGGAGTTTCATCCATAACAGTTCAAAGAGCAGTGAAAAAAGACTTGAAAATGAAATCGTACGTGAAACATGTGAAGCAACTTATTACTCGAGGACAGTAAGTTAAAAGGTTAGAGAGGGAAAATATCATCTTGAATAAATTTGAAAATGATCATTATATATATATAATAATCGACTCTCCCGTCGCGTTCGACGTATGAGGGTCAGGCCGATAAGTCCCCAGGAAACCGACATCCCGACACCGGCACATGAGATTTGATTATAGTGGTGAAGGCCTCGTGCAGGACCAGCCACACTTTTTGGAGGGACGAATACAGAAACCTGGTGCACCGAATGCATGCCACAAGGTTCCCAAACGACCCTCCGCAGGTTTTGAATTCAGAGTTGTCCTTCTCCTAGACCAGTTGCCATCCAAGGCTATAGAACCCAGTCTGTCCTGCTATTTTACCCATAGCTGGAGGGAGATGAAGAGGATACATACCTTTCCCAAGGGTATTAGCACGTAAGTGAATGTAATGGATTCGACTGGGATTCGAACTCGGCTCTGCGATTCCTCAATCCAAGCCGCTATCCACTGCCTATATATATATGAACTTTATTTCAATAATTTATGAGCTTCCGATCCTTAGCTATGATTAATTAATAATATGTCATTTTCATTTATGGTCGATTTCATAACGATTCTTCTGTTAAGCTTGGAAAGTAATTATACATTCTTATTGTTCAAAGTAGAGTCCACAAGGGTTATAAAATCCTCAGAGAATTCAAGTAAGATATCTTTAATCATTTCTAAGGCACAACGGTTCAAAGTTTAATCGAACAATTGGACAATTTTGCTGTTACACGATTTGGACAATTTTTCTATTAAATTCGGTATATGTGTGTAGAGAAAGAGAAAGAGAATTTTCTCTCCCTGTTACAAAAAAGAAAACGAATACAAAATTTTCCATCTTTCCTATAAAAAGATCAGTGATACAAATTACAAAAGAAGAAAGCAATTCACTGCCAATTGTTTACTCATTGACTGAAACTTTTAATCGTTTCAAGGCCCACTTCGGTTCACATCTTTGACAGTCGGGTATACAGAAGAATGCAAGAGAATCAGCCATAAGCAAAGAAAATTGATACTAAATATAATAACCATCGCACAAAGGAATGTTTATATGCTTTCCTGGTTCGCATAATGTCAACTTTCAGCAACGAAGGTTGAAATAGCTTAGAGAGGAACATCCTGACATTGCATAAAAAGATGCTTTCAGGCTACGGGTGACAACCACTAACTTCGTGACAGTACACATGTCTCCTTAAAAGGATTACAACGTTATTTAAAGTTACAAGTGTTTTTATTGAATTCTATTGTTGCCAACATAGATGGCCAGATAGATGACATGGATATATATATATATATATATATATATATATATATATATATATATATATATGTGTGTGTGTGTGTGTGTGTGTGTGCAAATATATAGAAAAAATAGTGCTCAATACATAAGTAAAGCCTAAATTATAATTTTATAATTAAATTGAAGTTTTAGCTCCTGTTTTTGAAAGATGAGAACTTATCATATTTAAAAAAAAATAACTATATATATATATATATATATATATATATATATATATATATATATATATATATATATATATATATATATATATATATATATATATGTGTGTGTGTGTGTATATATATATATATATATATATATATATATATATATATATATATATATACTTGATGTGACCGTAAGCAAGACCGAAATAGATAGAGAGAGAGAGAGAGAGAGAGAGTTGAGTGTTGATTAGTTGTTGATTAGTTGATTTTTGTTTAGGGTCATATCAAAGTTTGGGTTAATTAATGCCGAAATCTAAATATGCTGTCTCCAACTTTATCTTATTTTTGTATGTAATAATGGTTGTGATACAAGTCCTACTAATTAATCCATAGCTGGGGAAAAAAGAGGTAGACTCATTCCTTCCCCAAGTGTAATTGCACGTAAGTGATTATATGGAACCCAACTGGAATTGGAACTCAATTCTCTGATTAACAATTCTGAGCCCTTATGCATTACACCACACCGCAAATCCAAGCTTACAACATCTGGTTTTCCAAGCGGTTACCCATCTAGGTCCCGATCAGGATCGATGTTGCTTAATTCGGTTATCGTACGGGAAGCGATGTTTCAACATGATGTGGCCGTAAGCCAGAGTGAGATAGATAGATAGATAGATAGATAGATAGATAGATAGATAGATAGATAGATAGATAGATAATGAAAAGATAGATAGATAGATAGATAGATAGATAGATAGATAGATAGATAATGAAAAGACTGAAGTAGATAGATAGATAGATAGATAGATAGATAGATAGATAGATAGATGTACAGACTTATGTAGATAAAAATAAAAAGAAATGTACCTCTATTTAAAATTACGTCATTTTATTCAAATTTCTCAAGTGATAACTTCTTTAAGAATATAGAAGTTTCATTGTTTTCGAAGTAAAAATATTATTGAATTAATATATTATAAATTGAGGAAACTGTTTTGTCTAATTAATTTGTTTTTCTCTCTCACCTTAACAGAATTGAATTTGCTGACACGCAATTAGATAAAATCGATCCCTTGTGACTACAAATCGAAAGGCGTATCAAGAAAAATCAAAGAAAAACCATAGATTGGTCAATGTCTCGAAAATCCTAATGTTTAGTTCGTCTACGTCTGAGAACACCGATCGAGATTCTTTAAAAAAAGGCAATGCAAAGAATGACTGACTTTAGATACAGTTTATGGGAGAGAGCTTTGTCTAGCGTAATCAACAATCTGAAGAAAATCAGCACGTTTAAACCCTCGTTCACGATGACTAGCACAACCATTGATGGCTTCCAAGGAGTTCTGTTTAAACAATTTCACTGACAAGGCTTGGGTCAACGCATAAACGGGTAGACATTATTCTTACAGATAATGGTTCATCCTATCTTTTATTTTATTTTTACTGTTTATCATCATTTTACCCCAAGCAAGGTGATAAAACCACCAAGATGTAAAGGGTGGGTACTGAGAGTGAAAGAAAATGAAAGAAAATTTAGTGAGTAGGAAGGATAATAAAAGAACAAACAGATTTAAATTAAAATTTTTGAATACCAAAATCAAGCAAGTACAAATATTTAAATATCTGAGAAGTGTTTTAACAGTATAAATTCCCAGCCCCTCACCCCCCGATAACATCAAGAAGTCACCGTCCTGACAATTCGATGATGGTGTTATTCGAGCCTGTTTCTCATGGTCAAAGTTTGAATGTAGGTATTAGAATTTTATGTCTTGAATATAGTTACTCAAGCTTTCAGTAAATGTACCAATATTCTGTGTACAGATACAACGTAGCGCCAACACTTTCGGCGAGATATAACAGATTCACAAGTCTTCCTTACCTTATTTACACTATTTTAACTAATGGTCCATACGTTTTGAATAAAATCATTTAGAATTTTGAACAATCTCATCAAATTTCGAGAGAACGAAAGAGGAAAAACAAAACAAATACATGTTTAAACACAAATGCAATTATCGAACCTATTCCAATGTTTGGTTTAATTCTGTTTTCCTTAAAATCTTTTTAAAATTTCGATAAAGATAGTTTTATTTCCAATAATACTCTCCGGTTCCAAATATTTATTTGACATAGCCACAGATACAAAATAAAATACAAGGGCTAATGTGAATAATACACTTGTCCAAAAAATATGCAAATACACCAGGAAACATACAATGCTTACTGTCATGGCGGTGGTCTTATATAGGATTTCCAGTCACGTAGCTATTTTCCGTGTTTTTTTCTTCTTTTTTTTCTTTTTTTTTTTTTTTTTTTTTTGCTCGTCTGAAGAGTGTGCAATTACGGTAGGGGATAGTAAATAATTTTAACTAAGTAATACCATACAAAATAATAATTTTAACTAAGTAATACCATACAAAAAAAGGTATACCTATGTTTCATGGACTACCCAAAAGCGTTTAAGTTACGACTCAAAGATCTAGTTGAACTGCTAGGGAAATTTGATATATATATTACAATAACCTGCAAAATATACTGTGGACGAATCACCTGCATACATATAGAAAATAATTCAGCAAGTACACAAAAATAGAACAATCTGTAAGAAAAGGATATATCTTCTCACCAGATTTGTTTAACATATCCAATGAGGCAATTGGAAGTGCTACCAGGATTTATTACTGGATATCAAATTCTTAAAAAAATTCTATCCGCAGCTGACAATGTGTTGAAGGCAGACACAGAAAGACAAATTCAGCAACTCCAAGAGAAGGTAGTAACATAACATATTATATAAAGGTTCACTCCTTTTTACTTTGTTTCTAACGAGATTTTCCTGTTTCTTTATACTTTGCTTAGCTTTTGGAAGACATTTTTCGCTATCCCAATGCTTTTCGGATTACGGTGTCACATTTTCCGTCCTTTGTTAAAAACACTTCTCTTGATTCTTTGTACTCTCTTGATTTTGGTATTCAGAAGTTTTAATTTAAATCTTTTGTCTTTCTGAAAACCTAACGTTTTCTCATTTTCTTTCGCTCTCAGAACCCCCCCCCTTTGCGTCTCAGTAGCTTTATTGCCCTGCTTTTTTTTTTGGTGGATGGGGATGAAAAAATTAAAAGAGAACTAAGAAAAATGTATGGACGTTAGCACCTTGCACAGTATACGAGTTGGTAACGTCAGAAGAAAGTAAGTACAAGAATTTAACTATATGGAAAATATTTAACTGACGCACCAAAAGTGCATTGAAATAATGAATTGATTGATTTGTTTTTATGGATTATCAACCCTTTGCAGGTTATTTAAAGCCAGAAAATAGTTTTAGATTGTAAAATATTTTTTAAAGATAATAACGATTTACTAATACAAATCTTACTAATTAACCCATAGCTGGGGGAGAAGAGGTGGAATCATAACTTTCCCAAGGGTATTTGTGCGTAATAGCGAACTCGGCTCTACGATTGATCATTTCGGCCTTTTGTCTATTACACTAGCCGCACATACAAGGCTACAGTACCTGGTTTTCCCAAATGGTCACAAGTCTAGGGAGTGACCATTGCTTAACTGCGGTGATCGTTCGGAAACTAGTGTAGTGAAGTTCGGAAAAGAAAAGGATATAGATATATAATAAAAACATCAACTGGAGCAGTCTCAATGGTCTAATTGATAACAGTACTGTCACTATAAAAGAGACTCTCTAGGATAAGGAATGTCGACCTGATAGCTGTGATAAGAAGTAATAGAAATAAGTTAAAGTACTAGTCAATTATGATTTTCATAATGCTTCATGTAAGAATCTTGACTATTAAATTAATATCTCATTATTTACTACATAAGCTTTAGTCATTTATTTGCATAGTTTTGTCGGACATATTGATGGAATATGGCATACTTTCACTTAACAGATTCTCAACAATTTTTGCCTCATGATTTGTTGCATAAAATGGATGTAATCAGGAATAATACTGTTTGTGTGAAACATTTGGCTCCAAGGGGAAACACAGCATTACCTTCTTTGGATTAAAAAATGATAATGTTAGTGACGATTTTTTTGGTTCTTCCACGATCTCTTTCAGTTTACATTGCGGTAGAGTATCAACTTTTCATCGATCGCCATGATTTGTTTGAAAAAAAGGAACATTTAAATATGTTTTTGTTACTTTTTTTTCCTCTTAACTTACATGAAATCCATACAGCACAGAGAGCAAAATGATTTTCAAAGCATAAATTGACTATTTTGAGTATGTCGGCTGTCTCCTGCTACATTTAATATTGATCATACTCAAATGATGACCAGATCTGACAACTCCGTTTTGGACAATCGTCAAACTTCGCATAGTATTTTTCAAACATTCACAGTAATTTCATGATAAATTTCACTAATCTTTATGTGCATTCGAGTCGTATTTTTATCTTCTTAAAAAATGAATATATTGAAAATGTTGCTGTGCTATTTTCCATCTTCAATATTAGAATGAATAAAAAAAATCAATCGAAAAAAATCAGTTGGAAAATTTTTAAATGAATTTAGGCTGACTAGTGTTACAATCGAATCACAAGTGATGTTTTTTAATTAAGTTAGTTAAAGCTAAATTCAGCCGATGTTGTTAACGACTAAAAGAAGCCGAACGTTTAGGACAACCCATTAAAAAAACCGTTAATGTGACAGCTGTCATATAATCAAAAGTGTTCTTTTTTTAATGAAGATGGTCAAAATTTAACGCTATCTTAAGAGAAAAAATAGAATGAATATTTTGTCTAATCCCATCACGGGGAGAACAAAGTAAAATGTGATTGCCTAGTAACGGGTATTCGTTAGATAGTTAATGGCTGCTACCATTAAGGTCTCGGTTCCATGTGCAGCAATAAATCTCATAGTTCTAATACTACTACTAATAATAACCTGCTTCAACACCAGGCAAGACTCTTATGGCTTTTCATCTTAATTGACTGGAAGTACTAAAATTTACGTTTTGTCTTAAGATTAATTAAGAATGACTTCAGCGTGGGCGTTTTCAGCTCTTGTGTGGGTGATGAGCAACTGAACAGAAAATAGTGGGCGACTGGAAATTTTGGTGGGCGATATATGATTTTGAATATTAAAAAAGTATTCATCATATGCCGAAAAAATATTCAAAGGAGATATGCAAAGAACCTGTATAAAAAAAATCTGGTGTCTAACTGAAAATAACTTGGTCCCATTCCTAGATAAGATATAAATATCCCCGCAGACAAGGACTATTTTGGTATTTTCTATGTATTCAAATAGTTCTTCAGACCAAAAATAAGAAAAATATTTCGCTGATTTTTATTAGTTGCTAGTAGTATATATTATTTTTTAATTTTATAATTATGGACAAAAACCGTATTTTTTTTTCAACGCTTGCAACGCTAACCATAAAAATAACCTTGACAAAAAAATCAAAATTATAAATATAGTTTTTAATGATCAAGTTTGCTTTCGCATGTTCTTTAATACGGCAGTAGCAACCATCGCTTATAAGTCAGCGTTATTTGTTACCTCCGTATGGTATTTTTTTTACAGCGTCATAAAGTCAGTTTATGAACCAGTAACAAACTTACGAAACATTTTGATATGATTTTAAATATATACTACACAGGTGGGCAGTGGAAAAAAATTTCAATATGCAATTGGGCGAAAAGGTTTGGAACACTGGTCTAAAGTAACCATTCCGTTTAGTACTACAGATTTGCTTGTTGGACTCGCTTGATCATAACCAGTTGGGCATGTCTCCTAGAGGTGGATGCACTGTCTATCTCTGTTCATAAGCGGGAGTAGTGAAGTATCATCATAACAAAGTGTCGAGTTTCTGTTTTTAAGTTTGAAAGATGATATTTTTTGATTGAACTACTGAGCCCCTGCCTACTCCTGAGGCGCAGTATTTATTAAGTATGGAATAGTCCATTATTATTATTATGGGTACGATCCCATAACAATATTTTGAGTGCTCGGATTGGAGAATCGCAGATTTGAGTTCGAATTCCCGTCTAGTTCATGACATTTATCCACGTGCTAATAGTCTTGGTAAAGTACGAATCCATCTAAGCTATAGCTAAATAGCAGAACAGACTATTCTATAGCCTTGCGCAGCAATCGGTCTAGGAGAAGGAAAACTCTGAATTTAAAGCCAGCCTGGAGACATCATTGCTACTGTGGTTGCACATGGGCGAACTGCGTCTCCTGCTTACGCCTCCTTAACGGCTCACTCACATAGTAGTAAACCACCCACATACCCTCCGTGTTCCATCGGCGTGAAGTAATTTCCTCTCAAACATTTCTTCTCGTGAACTACTGCCCTATGGAACAAACTCCCTTGAGGATGTTTCCCCGATTCCTAGAATCTTAACTTGTTCAAGTCTAGAGTCAATCGTTATCCTCCCCTCCTATCCATATAAACTACCACTTATCGTAAACCTCTATCTCGAGTGGCCCACGGGCCTTGTACAGAGTGAACGTTACTGTAAAAAAAAAAAAAAACACCTGAATGGGTTACGGAACTCGTGAACGTGATTTTTAATCAGACGCTACTTAGTTTGGGATCGAACTTGAGACATCCGGTTTAATAAATTTCCGTAAACAGCAAATGGCCATAAATAAGAATTTACTTGCCAAACGTATAGCATTTTTTTTTTTAATTCATTTTTCTTTACTTGTTTTAGGCACTTGAGAATATTGTTTGGCTCTGGCTGTAACCTTTTCGCTAGTGTATGTCTGGGTCAATTTGTTTCATTTCCAGTGTATAAACCTTGGGGCTCTTGAAAACTACAGATTCGTTTCATTTTCTATTTTGCATTGCTTTTAAAATGTTGACATTTTAACAATAGAACTTAATGTGAAGAAATATTTTCTAATAGGCAATTAGATTCGTTGTCGTTCTTTTCCTTCTAATAAATCCAATGTTGCATCGATAGCGTACGAAGCATTTAATTCACCTAATGAAGAAAGTGCAACAAGGTTATTTTTCGACGACTGAACATTGTGCATAAACGTAAGAAACAAAAAGCAAAAGAATATAGAAAATGGTCGAATTAGGAGTTTGCCAACTAATGGACGGAGGCCGTATTTCAATAAATAAATAAAAAAAACAACTTGAAATAAGTAAATATATCTGAATGCAATCTAAAAAAAAAGTAAAGGAAAAGTATTCATGTGTAAAATTAAAATAATATTCGAGGAAAGCAAATTTCTGAACTTTATTCTCAGAAAATTCAAAATAGCTTTTCTCTATATAAAAGCTTTGTTTACTCGATGTCAGAATTTCATCTCATTTTTAAGTGATTTTTTATGGCTTATCAACCTTTTACATGTTATTTAAACCCTAAAGATATTTTTAGATTGTAAGAATTTATTGGAGATAATAATGATTTTACTGATACAAGTCCTGCTAATTAGAAGAGATGGATTCCTACCTTTCCCGGGGATATTTTCGCGCTTAAGTGAATATAACGAACCCGATTGGAATTGGAAAACGAAGAGCTGAGTTCCAATTCCGAACCGTTATCATTACACCACCCGCACATTCAAGTTTACAACACCTGGTATTCCCAAGCGGACACCCATCTTGCTACTGAGAAGATTCGACGTTGCTTAACTGCAGTGCTAGTATGGGAACCGGTGTTTCAGCGTGATATGGTCGTAAGGCCAAATTATTAGGTTGGTGCAAAAATAATGACGTAATAATGTCGTTTTTTTACGTATTTTTTAACATCAAAAAACGACATTATTACGTCATTATTTTTGCACCAACCTAATATTTTAAATTATCTGCCTTGGATTTATATTATATATATAATATTATCGCTATCAGTAACACTTTCATTGATTCCCGACATCTGACGACTACTTTTCCAAATTTTAAGTGCATAACTATCTTAAAATAATTATTAATGCATTTATATTATTATTATTATTATTATTATTATTATTATTATTAATAATAATAATAATAATATTATAATAATAATAATAATTATTATTATTATTATTATATATGCTATGTCTCTTCAGGACGTGGGTGACCACGATTCTCCACAACTTCCTTTGTAACACTTAGTAACGTTTGTCTTTCTCCCGTCCCACTTTCCATATAATCTGGTCAAGTAGCTGGCACTTACCCCAACCCCCGTCCTCGTGCCTTCGATATGTTATATGAGTATCAAATTCACCTCTTAATTCATGACGTGTCCAAGAAATTTCCGTGTATATTAACACTGTTTTGTTACTAATTCTCTGTTTTAGATTCAGGGAATATTACATTAATTCCTCGCCATTTGCAATATTTCTTTCTGGACAGACTAATAAGAGCACAAAACTTAAATTTCTCATACATAAAAATATTTTTTTTTATTCAACTCCGAACTTCATCAATTAATATCGGTGAAAAGGTGTGAGGATCTAGGGGCTTTCTCCCGATATTGAGTTTTCATCCCACGAAGAAGATTGTCTTCTTCCTTCTTAAATGGTTGCCTTCCTTTTATCAGCTGTCGCACGTGTTTACATCCTAAACGTAACTAGGTCGAACACCTGTTTACATGCCGGGGACAGATGCTGACGTCTTGTCAGGTGTGGATTTTGGACCTAAATTCTTTGGTGTTCTGGCCTGACACTGTGTGCAACATCTGAGGTCAAACACTACACTTCTTTTCTGATTCCCCACACGTTTTTATAGAAAAAACACTGACAATATAATTAGATTATTAATACCAGTAATAGATTTATTTTGTCATTAACTACTTTAATTTCTGACCACTGACAATCCCTATCTTTCTGATTTTCAATGAATTTCTATCATAAAAAAATAATTAGCTTTATTAACATTATTATATATTATTTCTTGATTTATTTACATTATTCGGGCTGTTATCCTCATCTTCATTGTCATATTCACAAACTCCGAATTCATGGGTAAGATAAACCAGCCTGGCTAAGGTACCCCGTCTGTCCTGCTATTTACCCATAGCTGGGAGTAGAGAAGAGTGGAATTCAGACATTTCCCAAGGGTATTAACACGTAAGTGAATGTGATGAACTCGACTGGAATTCGATTTCTATCTATTACTCCACAATACTTCCAAAAAATCTCCAATCATTGTATACCGAGTTTGAACTGGTTTAATGTTATGCAATTAAATTTTTTTTTAAGAAAGTACTTAAGAATAACAAATATCACTGATAAGTCAGACATTTTTAATCTTTAAGAGCTTACTCGCATTCGGGTGTAGATTTTTCAAAGAGGTAACAGGTTAAATTATTTGAAAATATATAAAAAAAAATATATATATATATATAGGAAATAAAATCCCAAGACTTCAGTTGCCGAAAATTAAAAAAATAGTTTTCAGCTGTCTTAAGGATTTATTTATTTGACGTCAAAAATTCGGGTCATCTTAAATTTTCTCTGTCTTTCTCTCTCTTACACACGCAAACACACACGCACATGAACATACACACATATTGTCACACGCATACGCCACACAAAAACGCACATTTATTGTTAGAAATGTGGAAGCAAAGATTGTGAATAGACCAACTATATTACCACAACTGAATTGGCAGGAATTAACCTTATAGTAGAAGTGAGAGTAGTCACCATTAGTCAGCTATTAACATACACACATACACAACACACACACATACACACAAATATATATATGCGTGTGTGTAGTCGCCTCCCAAAAAATCGATACCTAATATTTAAAATGCATTTTAAAAATAAAAAAAAATATTTCTTGAAGCCTTGGTTTCAGTTTTAATTCAAACCTAATAGATTAAATTTAATATTTTCAATCAGCAAAATATTTTGCTGTATTTCAAACCGAATTTAAATTGATTGGAACGATTTATTTTTTTCTGATTATCAATATAATCGCAAAAATAGTCCATATTGATAAACACAGCATAATTCTCTTTATTAAAAAAAAATCTTTCAAAAATAAAATATACTCTTCTGAAACGTTATTGGAGAAAGATTAACTGATTTAAAGTTTAATTAAATTGAACTGAAAAAAATATTATTTATTTTTACTTTAAAATATCGCAGAAAATCATTTTTTTTACCACGATGTGGGTGTTTTCATGAGGTGTTGACACAGTTATCGACAGCTTGATGTCTGAGAAATTAAAAAATATTCAATTTTGTTTTTAAATACTGGGGGTCGCTGAATTGTAGTAAGCTTATTCGTTTATGATTGGTAAATACAGCTTCTATTTAATAACAATATCACTTGACCGCTACAAATTAATACACGATTTTAAAAGATTTAAAATTTTAGAAATTATTCTAATTATTACTTTTTTTTTTTTTAAATGAAGACAATTCTTGTAAAATTCCTTAGTTATCGATTTTTTTTCTTAAGACAACAGTTCATTTATAAAGGCAATTAAAATCTTTCTAGTAAAATAATGTCATAGTTTTATTGCATTTTTTAAATTATTTTACGATTCGGAGCAGATTTTTCTGTAACTGGAGGTTCTGTTAGACCCTCAAAAATTGATTACTTTATATATATATATATATATATATATATCATAATGAGAAGCCACGTATACTTTCTTAATGTGTATATATAGAAAAAAAACTAAAAAGTTGCAAATTAAGAAATAATATTTTTTTATGTATTTATTTATATTTTTTATATATAAAAATATAAATAAATACTTTCATAAGAAAAACGTTATTATTTTTTAATTTGCAACTTTTTAGTTGTTTATATATATATATATATATATATATATATATATATATATATATGATCCTGAAAAAATTATTTCGGTTGAGCTCTTCAGAGGGAAACTGAATTTTTAAACAGTGACTATTACTGCTACAGGTGCAAGACGCTTCGTTAAGACGAGTGGAATTCTCCGGTCACTGGAGTGTTTGTCTAAAAATAAATACATCTAAATTCACCTTCATCCCGAGGCAATGGCTTAGGGGTAAAATTTCTGATTGATACCAAATGAAACTGGTTTCGATCGCGGCTAGCTCACTAAACATAATGCTTCGCCACAATCTAATCGACAAGGAAACATGCACAACACTTACACCGACAAACATCACACCTGCTCGTTTCTATCTCCTTCCTAAAATACACAAAAGCAACAACCCGGGAAGGCCGGTCATTTCATCAATCAACTGCCACACGACCAAAATTTCCAAATACGTAGACCATTACATACAACCCCTAGTTAAGGAAGTAAAATCCTACATCAGAGACACAACAGATCTACTAAACAAAATTGATCACCTAAAAACAGTGCATTAGAATGCTATTCTAGTGACTATGAACGTAAGATCACTCTATTCAAAGATTAGACACATGCAAGGGCTAACTGCCCTTCCGGAAACACTTACTAAAAGAAGAAAACAAGACCCCGCCACACCCCAAGAAGCTATCATAAAGCTCATGGAGCATATTCTTACACTGAATACTTTCAACTTCAATGGAGCATACTACCTGCAAGTAAGAGGATGTGCCATGGCCACCATTGCAGCTCCATCATATGTTACAATATTAATGGGAAAATTTGAGGAGACCCATATCTAACCCCTCATCAGTAGCGACTGCGTATTCTATGCAAGATATATCGATGCTATATTCTTTGTATAGACGGGCAGTGACGACAAACTTAGCCAATTTCTCATGGCCCTAAACACAGTGGACGACTCAATTAAGTTTGATTATAAAAAGTCCACAAGATCGGTAACATTTTTAGACACCCGCATTTACATACATGAAAACAGGAAACTACAAACGACACTACACACTAAAATCAACGACACCCACAGCTATCTACACTTTAAGTCTTCCCACCCTAAACACCTCAAAGAGAAGCTTCCTTATTCACAAGCACTTAGACTCAGAAGGATATGTTCCAAAAATTAAGAACTAAATAAACACATTGAAAATCCTCAGCATCAATTCACAACACGTGGCTATGAGCAACACCTATTCAGAGAACAAATAAATAAAGAAATTTCCACAGCCAGAGAAGACACCCTAATGTACAAGATTAAAAATAAACCCAACTGCATCCCTCTAGTAACCACTTTGAACCCCACTCTGCCTCCACTATCCCAAATAATCAAAAGTCGCTGGGAAATAGTAAATCTCAAACCAGACCTAAAAATTGTTTAAGGAACCCGGCCTTCTTGCATATCGTAGACCTAAGAACCTAAAAGAAATCATAGGTAGTAACCACATTTCAGGGGACAAGGTAATCCGTAATAAACCAAAAACAAAAACAACAGGATTCTCCCAACCATGTAACAACAAAAAGAGCTTATGTCGCAACCACATTAGACACACGAATTCATTCACTAGCTCAGTCACTAAATCTACTTTCAAAATCTACCACGATTCTAACTGTAAAAGTCATAACATAATTTACCTCCTAGAATGCACACAATGCCAGAAAATCTGAATGGTCCTTTCACTGCAGAATTAATAATTATCGCAATCGAATTAAGTCGACTCCCCATCCTGTAGAATAACATTTCCGCCTACAAAAACACGATTTTAAAACCCATGTTAAATTCACTATAATTGAGAGAATAGATTAGTTCAGAGCAGATAACATTAAAAAGATTTTAGAGTGCCATGAAAATAAGTGGATCCGACGTTCAAAAACGCTCTATCCAAAC